CATGGAGGTTTAACAATTCACGACCTTCTAGCCTGATCCAGTCATTTCATTCAAGTGTTACGAATATACGCGTAAAATGTTCATAGATTTTCAGGAATGGCTGGATATGAGTTCTTTTCTTTCACAGTTATCAGTTCTGTAGTGGATCTGTTGGCGCCAGTGCAGATGATCTATTAATCGTCGTTGAACTGTCAATATAAGCAGTAATTTTAGCGACAGCATTTGAACGGATGGCCTGTCTATATCGTACATTTGGAGTGAGGCAGCATGTTCTTCCTCCTGTCAACCTGAAATGTATATATATATATATATATATATATATATATATATATGTGTGTGTGTGTGTGTGTGTGTGTGTGTGTGTTCAAACATCAATAATAATAATAATAATAATAAGAAGAAGAAGAAGAAGAAGAAGAAGTATTATTATTATTATTATTATTATTATTATTATTATTACTCCAGCATTTACCATTATTAAGCAAAGCGGTTAAATCAAGCAGGCACTTTATCCGTCACTATAATGACAGCTAACATAATGGAAGACCCCGAGAAGCTAGGGGGATGCTATTGCATGATGTGCAGGTTACATTTCATACATTGGGTTTTATGTTCCTCACTCCACGTTGATCTTAGTCTGTTTAAAGCACGCAATCCAGACCTGGCCTAACAGTTTCCATACAGGGAAGTGAGATCGGAAAACTCACAAACACTAAATCAAAACCGGAGGCAGAATGGGTCTTCAATAAAACACCGTGGACCATCCAGAGGGGGGAAAAGAAAATTGAAACCACATCATGTAGAAAATATGCTATACGCATCTGCCATTGAAACGTTTACAACAGTGATGTCTGAACGGAATAGAGACACATTACAGCAATTTGTTGGTATAAAAACTGATAGAAAGTGTTCTGCGTATGCTCTGCAAAATATCTTGATTTTATTTTGACAACCGAATTACAGATCTGTGTGTGTGTGTAGCTGTGTGTGTGTGTGTGTGTGTGTGTGTGTGTGTGTGCCTGAGTGTGAGTGTGTGGATTTCTGCGGCACCTCCATTCTCTCTTAAAGCCATTAAAAGCAATAAGAATGAGATTGATGAGAATTTTACGACGTCCTCGTGTTAACAGTGTCAGTGCAGACACATTGCAGTGGTTCATATGCAGCATGACGCATTAAGCTGAGAAATGGCCCGGCTCCATTGATTGCCGATAGCGGAACGGTTTCCAAACATACGTGTAAGATCCTGTTGGCGGAGCCACGTCTAAAACAAAGCAAAGCCACATGTAAACCTGCAAAGACCACCTTCTCTCCGCTTTACCTCCTAAACTGGTTTACTGTATCTCTTTTTCTCGCAGTGAGTGAATAGCAGAGAGAGATTCAGTCAATACACTAAGAACAGTGAGGATTACACCGTTGTTGCACCTGGGGATTACACGAGAATGGATCCGAACATTGCATTAATAATTATGGATGACTGGTGGCCTAATGATATGTAACTTACAGTTAATACGAGCTGCCAAGTCCATTATGAGACCATGTTCCATTGTTATATCATAATTCACCCGTGCGACCATCTCCAGGGGTGAAAATGGTTTTATGGTCTTACACTGCAGTCCTGATGGGATCCACTGGGATTGGGAATCCCGAGCCTATTTAAAGTTTATTCCTTCGAATGAAGATAAACTGCTCCCCTGAGAGCCCACAGACAGAGGTCGCATCAGAAGGGACGGGACTACAGTGGAGGGGACATGATTCTGAAACCGTGGGGATATGACTTCCCAATCGAGCTCGATAACGTCCATAAATGTTGTAATGCGTGTAAAAGTGAGAAATGAGAATAGGCTCCGCTTTAGGCTACATTTTAGAAATGAGAAATGCTTAAAGCATGTTTGGAAACAAGATGACTAACAATATTAGACTGCAGGATTTCTCATGAACATAAAAGCATTGAAATCTATAATGTATTTCATTAGCTTTATCCAGTGAATTTTAAGCCCTGTGTCAATTCATATTGATAAGTGGCACTTAAACATGTTCTGTAAAATCAATAATGGTTTAGTGGCCCAATTTTTTCAAAACTTATACACTCTAGATGTTCCATGTTTTATTATTGTTTCCCCAAAATTCTAATTGATCGAAATATATAATAATACAAATATAGTCAGACAGTGCATTAAGCATTTATTGCCTATATTAGATTAATTCGACGCGAATTATTTTAGAGCTTATTTAAAGAATTAATCCTAAGGGCCAACAAACGTAGGCAGCACATTATTTCGTATTAAAATAGAATAAGATATTAAGATATAAGTAAATGATGAAGACATGTTTAAGCTGTAAGCAAACGAATATTTTATTATTATTATTATTATTATTATTATTATTATTATTCAATTTATTTTTGTGTGATTTGAAAACACTGCAGGCTCTTAGAGCTTAAAGCCTAATTTTAAAAAGTTAATGCAAAATAGTCATCAAAATGATAAATATTGAGATATAAATTTCATCAAAATAATACATATTAAGATATAAACCATTATTGACTTTATTTTGCCTAAAATTAGTGAAATTCTCCAAATTCCCAACAGACATATTTTCCTCACCGCATGAACAAATCTTTTTCCTCACAAATGTCATCAACCGAACGTTATGTATTCTGATGGACATGTGATATATAACAATTATCTGACCACATATAAACTCGCCAGTCTATTTTATCTAAGTCTGTCTGAATTAATAAGCAGTCGAATGAGAGAGAGAGAGAAAGAGAAAGAGAAAGAGAGAGCAATACTACATGCATACTCGCGCCGTTCAGTACAGGACTAACACGCTTTCAACTCAGCAAAGAACTTTTCCTGTAACCGTTCTGCAGACAAATGAAAACGACTTTTCTTGAGGAAATTTACATTTCTACCTGAACGTCTGCTGCGGTCGAGCTTCAAATCGTCTGAACGGTCGCTGTTTTTTACAGAAGTCCTCCGCATTTTTGGTGCTCCGTTCATCTTCTCATGTCTTCATAGTGCATCCAGTCAGTTGGAATGGGGTGCAATCCCCATTTCATCCAGACGGGGGAGACTGACGTCGCTCGAGTAACTCTAGGCACACTGTAGTTGGCCATGACATGAAATGGCAAAAGTACATATGTGTTTTAATGGTCATACTTTTCGAGCCAGCATCTCGCTCTTGACCTTCAGCTGATACAGTACCATCACTACCAGATATACGACGTCAGCTGCGACTGGATGCACCCACTGAACGGATGACTGTTCAGGCCCATTATGCTTTTCCATGCATTTTCAGCACCTTGACTAACACCGTTTTTAGTTCTTGATTTCTGGAGCCACTTATTAAACAAATGAAAGTTTATGCTACGCTTCGATCTGATGTTTTCCATGTGTGAAAGACTTCTTGTGAACTACAGTCACGTAGGATAGTGACACTGCTCCTTATTACCAATGGGTCGACTGTTAACTTTAACAAGTGACATTTTGCGAGCTAATAAACTATACCTTCTTTCCATCCTCTGGAAACACTGAGGACATGCTGTGATAATGCAGACTCTTGGAATTTGGTCAGTACCGTATATAGGTTTAGTACTTCTAGGCCTGACTTAGAGCACCGCATGCACTGCTACAGGTACTGAAAAGTATGTGCAGCTTCACAGCCCATGACCTCCACCCCGTAGAGCATAGTTATGCATAGCATGAGAGGTCAGCAAAAGCATCATTTCATGCCAAAACATGGCATAAATAAGCAATAATTCAAAGTACTTTTAGAATAAGAAAGGGCTCCATTGTATCTTTAAGTTAAAAGTTATCAAATAAAAATTGTAAGAATTTGTCTCCAAATGCTCACTTTATAAAAACCACACGTTCATATGAACATCTACTTTAATTGTTGCACCCATTTGTGTGTTTTTCTCATGGGTAAAGCAGAATCGCAACGTCTAATTCGTCTCAAGTATATCAAATGTATTGCATACTGCTTCTTTCTTCTTCAACGTCATACACTCTTAGCAAAAAAAGGTATACTAAACTGACACTGGGGTGGTACCCCTCTTGTTAATTGGGTGGTACCCTCCAGGTTCAGTACACTGTTAGAAATAAAGGTACTGTGCAGGTACATTTTCATTCATCAATGTACAAGCAATGTAAATGTACCCATAAAGGTACAACAGTGGTTTTAAGATCCAATTTTGTACCTTAAATAAGTTTTCCCAGGTGAAAAGTACATATTTGTACCTTTTCATAAACTAATGTTTTAAAACAGAACAATACAATAAAAAGGCCTGGAGACGAGACGGGGTGTGTGGAGCCAATACAACTATAGAAAATATAATTTCAAAGGATTATAGTACAATTATGTTCCCTGACTAAATCTCGTACCAGCCCAGTGACAAAAGGGGTACTGCCCAAGTGATAGTTTTGCACCTTTTTTCTGAGGTGGTAGGCTAAATTTCGTTAAGGAGCATAATTGTATCATATTTCACTGAAATTCTATAGTTTTTAAGCTGTGCTGACTCCACACACTGTCTTGTCTCTTTATTTTATTGTTCTGTTTTAAAACATTATGTTATGAAAAGGCACAGATATGCACCATTTATCTGGGAAAAAAAACTTACACAGTTGGACCGCAAAACCATTGGTGTACTTTTAAGGACACATTTACATAGTTTGTACCTTAATGAATGAAAAACGTACCTCCATTTTCAGACACTGTGGGCATTAGTACGCATTACATATGCATTTCTACTGCAGACTACAGACCTCTCTCCTATAGACTGCTCTGCCACTTCTAGGTGTGATAACTTCATATGAAACCATCTTGCGTTATTTTTTGGCACAGGTTAGGTCTTACTCCCTCATGTCCAGCCCCCTTAATCTGAATTAGCCCGTTCAAAAGGTTAAATTACGCATACCGGATGGCTCCTTCGCGGAGCAGCCTCTGCGAATACTCGAGGACCAATGAAATGAGACCACAGCTCGCAGCGTAACCGGAGATATTGACGTGGAGGACGCCTCAAATTAATCCGAGCAAACCTCAGCCTGCGGGATCGCACAAATTCGCCTTTAACGAATGAAGAGCAGTCTGGCCGCTTCGTCCGAGGGAACTCTAACGTTTCTGCTCGTGGAGGGGCAGAGAGGTGGTCTGCGGATATTTTTGGTGCACTTTTGAGCTCTCCACACTGCATGCGGCGGAGGCAGCGCGTTCAGCCATTGAAGGGGGAACTGTTTCAAGGAAAGCATCACGAAAGCTCGGACAAATGGGTGAGCCCTCGTCCACATCATGCATGCTTCAGTGGCAGGGGGATGAAAGGAGCTGAGCTCTCTTTACATGCCTGCATAACGCCTGAAAGTCAGGGTCGAGTCTCTGTACGCTGTTTCGTCCGAAGATGCATGTGTTTAAAAGTTAGTTGATCGTTGCTGCTGCTGGTCGCAGCTAAAGAGCAATCAGTTTACATACATGTGTAGCCTATAGGTACAACCTGCATGTAACACACCGAAACGTATTACAATATCAATGCTCAAAGATATCACCTAGCATTATAGCTCGTGCAGAGGATCGCCATTTTTCCTTTCGCCTGTTATCTGATGAGCTGATGGGCGAATTCTTGTTTCTCTGCTCTGTTTTAGCCGCTGTAATCCAGCTTTGCCTGTGTTTTCTCCTCCAGAGCAAACTTACGGGGAGGTGAACCAGTTAGGAGGGGTTTTTGTGAACGGACGACCCCTGCCCAACGCCATACGGCTAAGAATAGTGGAGTTAGCCCAGCTCGGGATCCGACCTTGTGACATCAGTAGGCAACTTCGCGTTTCCCACGGCTGTGTGAGCAAGATCCTGGCCAGATACAACGAGACCGGCTCTATATTACCGGGCGCTATCGGAGGCAGCAAGCCCCGAGTCACGACGCCCAACGTGGTGAAAAGCATACGGGAATACAAACAAGCAGACCCCGGGATTTTCGCCTGGGAGATTCGGGACCGACTTTTAGCAGATGGAGTATGTGACAAATACAACGTGCCCTCGGTCAGCTCCATCAGTCGGATTTTACGGAACAAAATCGGGAACCTCTCCCAGCCAAACCAGTACGAGGCTGGCAAGCAGGCACCGCCGCAGCCGAGCCTTTCTTACAACCATTTATATCCATACTCCTACCCCAACGCCATGTCCCCTTCCGGGACTAAAATGAGCAACCCTCCCGGCGTCCCAGTCACCGGCGGACATGTGAGCCTGTCCCGCGGGTGGCCTTCAGCGCACACGGTCAGCAATATACTGGGCATCCGAGCTTTCATGGACCCGACAGGTGAGACTAGCTGGCGTTTACATTTCTTAATAAATAATAATAAAAAGTCTGTTGAGTTATTGACCGCGAAGCTCCTCTACTACATCTACACGAGGCCTACTGTCCCAGCTCGATTTAGACCTAAGAACATTCTACAGCATTCCTAAAAATACTACACCCTGTGCAATTCACTGACAAAAATAAAAAAGAGAAAATAAAGTCCTTCCGTCGTTTAGCGAGCGCAAGAACGCGACCGTGTAGGCCTCGATTTTGCAGGCCACTCTCCCACAAACATGCAAGCAGCATCTAAGCCTGCAAGTAGCAACGAGTCACGCTGCAATAGTTTCGAATTGTGCACAATGAAATAAGATTCTACTCATAAGACAATCATTACATTAAAATCTGTGCATTTAATTTTTATAATTATTAGAATTTTCTTTTTGCTTTCCAGAATTTTTGTTTTTCGAGAAATTTGATGTATGTAGTTTTGGTGAGCAAACTGTTTGGCAAGCGTATGTTTTACATTTCCTATTTCAGCTTAATTCCTCATATTATAATAAAACACAATTAATTTTAAATAAATATAATTTACTTAATAAAATCGCATTCAAGCAATTCGACGCTTCCTCGAAGAAATTCTCAAAGAAAATTATTAAAATACACATGATATACACGTGGATATTAAATTTGAAGAGCATTTAAATTTAAATTAAACGTGTTCTTTTAAATTCTATTATCTGTTAGTAAGCGTCATTATTAACGCTTGTTTCTTTCTTCTAAAGCTTACAGAAGCCCAAAATGTGGTTTTGTATGAAATGTCTGTTTTCTATCCAGCTATTGCTGGCGCTGAAGGGTACGCACCAAAAATGGAGGACTGGGGGAGTGTGAACAGAGCCACGTTTCCCCCCACGCATGGAGTGAACGGAATAGACAAGTCGTCTATTGACTCGGACATAAAGTACCCTCAGGTAAGGGCTTTTAAACACAGCCGGTGCACTGATCCAATGACATCTCAGTGTGGAGCGTTTATACGATGAAGCTTCTTTAGTTTGAGGTGATGGAATACTTGGAAATTATTGTTGTACGCTGGACTACATATCTAAATATCTGTGTGTGTGTGTGTGTTTTCTCAGCCTTCCTCCACTCTCTCTAGTTACGTTCCGCCATGTGCCTATTCTCCTTCCAACCAGTATGGGGTTTATAGTGGCCCAGCAGGTAGCTATGTGGGCCCGGGTCCCCACTGGCAGGCTCAGGGGGCGACCCTCTCCCACCCAGGCAGCGGCATGGCCATCCACTCGGGGGACATCCATTCTGCTATGCCCTTCAAACATGCTACACGAGACGGTAGGCACCATCTGATTTGATATCCTGTCCATATGTTGATGATTGCGCATTATCTCATTATGCAGCTGTGTTTTTGTTTTGTTTTGTTTTTTCGTTCCCTAATTTCGAGCCCACCCAGAAGTCCTAACTGATCAGAACTGTGTTTCCCAAAAGCATGGAAGGTGATTGCAGTTTCGCAAGTCATCAGCGTGCTAATCTAAACGATCTTAACAGTTAAACGCGCACGTTTAGACGCAGAACTGATAGTGTATCAGCTCGTAACAGGCGATTGCGTTTAGTAGAAATTTTACAAAGCTCTTGGCTGGTTTAGGACACCAGCAACACTGGAAGACATGATGCAAATAATGGTTTTATTTCGAAAACTTTTCTGCTGAACTTCACTGAACTGGAAACACATCTGTATTAGTATATCGCTGTTATGTAATTACTGTTTTAAGGAAATAACAATTAAAAACATTCACTACAGTGTAAAAATAATTCAGTGTTTTTTTATGTAGTAACCAGGTTGCCTTAAAATGCTTTTTAAATTTTAAATTTAAATAATAAGTTGACAGAATGCAAATCAGAGATTACTGATCTGTTTGCGTGCTATTGAAAGCTAAGTGAAAGTAAACTCAGGTTACCGAGTTACTTCCTTTTTTTACGTTAAAACATCGAATCCTGTTTCAGAGAGCAGCGATGCTCAGTGCTGTATGACAAAAGCCTTTATTACTCTCAGTCTCATTTCGCTCGCGTGTCAAAGTGTCTTTGGATGGCGACACAGAGCAGGTGCTCGACTCCAACAGTAAACATTACTATCGCTGAAGAAGCTTTTGACTGATGGCACAGGGTTTGATGAGGAGCGCAGGAGTTCATGTCAGGTCAGCTTGCTGTGTCCTGATCTCAGCTGGCTCTTGCGGTGTGGCCTACGTCATATGAACTAACAGGGTCTGACATCACGAAAATATTACTGTTTATGAACATATGAAGTTTTATGGCTGATTAATGACGCTTGGAGGGAGTCATGCTGGGCTTTAATACAGAGATATAAACGAATAGATTTTCATATGTCCTGCCTTCCGCGAGTAAGTCCGCTTTATGAATGGCTGCTATGTGTGATTTGCAAAGCTTTGCATATAGAACTGTTTTTCGTGCTTGTCTTGGCGCTTGTAGTTAGATGTATTATTTGGTCAGTTATATATATATATATATATATATATATATATATATATATATATATATATATATATATATATATATATATACACACACACACACAGACACACACATTTGTATGCAAAAGTTTAGGCACCTCTTATGCTCTGATGATCATACGATATGTTTTGTTGTTTTAAAAAAGGTGAACACCTCTACAGGGAACACACGTCTGCATATTTTTATGCACAATTACTGTTTTTTCGCTGAATTTAACATATTGGGAAAAATGTGGCCTGTGCAAATGTTTTATATATACCAATGGGTCAAATAAACAGAAATCGTGCGCTAAATGTAGAAAAATGCCACACTTAAGTGTGTGCCCTGTAGAGGGTGTGTTAACTTAAATTCACTTTAAAAAAAATCGACAAAATGTGATTTGACAGGGGTGCCCAAACTTTTGCACACGACTGTTATGTACATAGTCGTTCAGATCACTCTTCTTATGAGGGAAAGGGTTTATGGGTAACTGCTCTAAATGAGGTCTATTCTGTAAGTGTATCGTGCTGCTGCAGGAATATAATTACAACTTGCCTATCTATTTATCTACACACTTAAAAAGATGGTTCTTCAAGGCTTCTTCAGCAAAGGGAATGGTTCTAGTTTCATATAGAACCATTTAAATACTTAATGGTTCTATGCATGGTAAACCGGTTCTTCAATATGTTGTTTATGGTTCTGTATAGAACCTTTTCAAAATTGTTCTATAAAGCCCAAAAGGAAAAAAAAGCAGTTCTGCTGTTGCTATGATGTTGTTGTCAAGAACCATTTTTCTTTACTACAGAACCCTTGAAGAACCATCTTTTTAAAGAGTGTGTCTTTCTCTCTCTAAACGTGTCTCCTTTTTGCTCTTTGCTCTTCCCAGGAGACAGAAAACCCCCGAGTCCTCTCAGTAAGCAGCAGCATGAGGCTCTGAGCAGCATCCACGGCCTCAGCCTCCCTCAGCCTACCTCATCCTCATAGCCCGGGAAGCGCACAGCCTCCTCTCCTAAAGCTAGCAGCGCATTTAGCTGAGCGCATTTCAAGAACTCAGACTCTGTAAGTTCACACGCTCCTCTTCCTCTCAGCGCCTTGTCCCGCTCTGGCTCGGCCCTCTGTGACAGTCCAGGCCTGGCTTCTCATCTACCACGCATTTTTTTTCTGAAACTGAAATGAATGTAACGTTTTACTTTTTTGCAACTTGTTGTCGTGCCGCACTGTGTTGGTGGCTGGTTGTTGGTCTTTTGCTCCTCCACGCGCTTGTATGTCTACGCTATTTATAAAAACGACTGCATCGCCATTGTCGAGGGTTGACCTGCCTGGGCAATAGTGTAATGTTATTGGTTACTTCTCCTCAGCAATACCTTCCAAATGAAAAACGAAAAAAAGAATAAAAAATACTGCAGTACATTAATCACACTCAAATATGTGAACAAAGTAATTAATTGTAAATGTAAAATATTACAAATTCTTTAGGTATATATTTTTTATAAATTCATTTGTAAATAAGCTGAATAAAGGCATGGTATAAGAACACCTTTGTAGTCCACGTCATTCTTGTGTGATTATTGCGATTGTGTTTTGAAGTTGAATGGTTTTAGTTCCACTTTTGGACTTTTCTAACTATTTGCTATTATGTGTTATCGAGTCCATGATCAGCCTCCAGCCCCCGGGTTGGTGGTATCCCAGTGTACCCTACTGCAACCACAATTAGCTGCAAAAGTGCAGTTAAAACTCAGGGTTCCTTTTCTTTTTTCCCCCAACAAGAAACAGTTGAATGCAATATGGCGTGTGGAAAAACGCGTGGGTGAGTGGGTGATAGGGCTATTTTGCTTTCCTCTCATGTGCGCTACCATGTTTAATGGTGCTTAGCAGCGTTTGGCGCCTCGTGTGATGCTATCGTTGTTTATGCTGGACCGAAGCCACGAAGGCGGTCCAATATCGAATATCGACTTGAGCTTAATCAACTCCTCTTATTCTTATATCTGAGGATTGGTTTGGGACACCAGCATCGGATACAATTTCACCCAGTTGTTGTGCTTTGCGGTCATTTTGGAGGCTGTTAGGATAAACGTCGCTGTTTTGTCAACATTTAAACCATCAGGATGAATAAAGAAAATGACCGGCTTACAGAAAAGCTCGTATTTTAGATGGCATGTTATGATAGCAGATAATGCAACTTAACAGTCCGGATAGATCTAAAACGAGCAAAAGTACGTTTAGTTGTGCTGATATTTTTTTCCTCTAGCTATAAAAAACTGCTGTTTATATTAACGTTTTTTAATGCTGACTTTCTTCGTGGTTTAAGTTGGATGGCATTAAGAGCGGATACAGCTCAAGACAGTTCAGGTTTGCTGCTAAGCTAAGCTATCCTTTTAATCGTTCGCTGCTCAGAGCTGTTGGTGTATAACTTGTGGGTGTTGGAAGTGAATCAGCTGGACAATTGGATGCACATGTGAACGGCTTGGGCCAACGACGTAATTTCCTTCAACTTGCTAACGTCACATCGAGCTTTGCCTTTCTTTGTTATAGGAAGGCCTGGAGTACATGGCAGTGAGTGAGTTCATTAGAACAGGCCTGCAAAATCACCCAGTGCGTCGTTGTTTGGTCATGTTTGGCTGTTTTGGGAGACATTTTGTGTTAAATGCACAGTGGCTGTAGGATAAGTACAGAGCTAGAGGAGCTATACCAGAAAAGCTTTGTGGTTGAAAAAAAGGAAAACTACAAGCCAAAAATAAAAAGGTCCAGGATGTCTAACAGATTAGGCTTTTTGAATTACACAATGTTTTTTTTTATCTTAATCGCAGAGCAAAAAAGGTCAGTAAAAAAGCACAAAAGTCAAGCTCATGATTGGTCAAGTTCATAATTGCTGTTTGGCGCAGCGAGAATGGTACAGGAAATGAAAAACATTTCGTTAGATATACTCATTCGGAGGCTTCTTTTCTTTTCTGGTTTTCTTTTTATTCTTACTATTATTATTATTTTTCAATTTAAATCATATTAAAAAAAAAAATCTTGTATTCGTACATCATTAGCTGGCATTTCTTAGCCCCATAAGCTAAAAACAGCTGCCACAATTCGAACTTGCAAAGATTTATTCTATTATAAATTAAGTAATGAATGAATTAATTAATTAATTTTTTTTTATTTTTATTTTCACTAAGTGAATAAATGAAGCGTATACTACGTTAATTCACTGTTTCTGTGTTATTATTATTATTATTATTATTATTATTATTATTATATTATTTCTAGTTAATTAGAGGGATTTTATGATTTACATCATTGATTTTATTTAGTGGTGGAATTTACTGCACATCAGACGGCGTGATCAGTTGATAATATTGTCTCACCGTTTTTCTGAGATAATTTTTATTAATCAAAGGTTCTGACAGGTCTTTTTATTGCAACTGGTGAAGGTTTAATTTTAATCCTGAATTGTGATACACTATGAAAACTACACGCACAGAGTCAAAAATACTGTACTGACTCCAATACAGCTGTAAAGGTTTAATAATAATAATAATAATAATAATAATAATAATAATAATAATGATAATAATAGGACTGTGTCCCGTTTTTAAAAACCTAAAAACTGTTTTATTAATTGCAGCAGTTTTACTGATTTGTTGGTTGCGAAGCTGCTATGCTGCAGAAGTTCTGATCGTTTCTTTTGGTTCTGACTGTTTCATTCACGCCGCTTTATCGTGGAGCACCAGAGGCTGATGGTTCTCCTGTTGAGAGACGTTTGAGTGACACATCTTTGGAACATTGTTGACAGGCGGTCTATACACACACCTCTCAGCCCTCACTGAGGCACTTAAAGTTTCAAATGTCTGACTTCAGATGTACAGAATCACTAATCGCATACTCAGTTCAGAGCAGCTCAAACACGCAGCCACGTGCAAACACATTTCACTTCATCTGCTCAATGGCCTTTTATGAATTGTGTCCTCAGTGCATTGTTGCCTGCTTTTACGTCTGTAAGCGACACTTTAGTAATGTCAGGGGCAGTAACTGATTATTGATATCTTCATTTTTTTCTTTCTTTCTTTCTTTCTTTCTTTCTTTCTTTCTTTCCTTCTTTCTTTTATTTATTTATTTATTTATTTATTTATTTATTTATTTATTTGGGGGCTTCATAGGTGAGTGGTGGGGGTATTGGGGTTGGACTTTTCGAGCAACTGCTACTGAATAAGCATTAACAAAGCAAGTTTCACATTAGTGAATTCACATTATCGAGCAGGAATGCTTTGTACTAAATGTGTGTTACATGTAAATTATGTAATTAAGTAATTAAGAAACTGAACGGTCTATATGTCTTTCTCACTAAGTGTGTTCTGTGTCCTCCATGTATTCTTTTGCTTAAAGGACCTATAATTTTTATTATTTATTACTGTCGACATGTGACATTCAACAGTCGTAATTCGTTTCCCATGGCCATTTTACAATCTCTCTTTATCCATTACAATTAATCAGGCTGTTTATGTTACTGCACCTTTCAAACTGATGCATGTACATGATCTCTGCTCTGATTGGCTGCTTAATATTGTGCCTTGTTCAAAGAGTAGTCCAGATTGAAACACTCCTTATAACGTCGGTATGAATGGGCGGGGCTAAACTGTTGTGGGTGGACATATGTAAATATGTTCGCTTTCCCCACGTCATAAAAAAAATCTAGTTTTCAGACATAGACTGTCTGGATTGTGGAGTACGTTTTGAAACAATGTTTACATTCTACATTAAACTTCTCATTTAAAAAGTGTTTCTGTGATATGTACCCTTTAAGATATGGAAAACTACAAAGGTACAAGCTACAATGGAAAGCATCAAAGGAAGCAGCATGGACTACTTTAGGCTGGTTATATCGGTGCAGTGGTCTGTTTGCGCGCCACTATTGTGTCAGGGGTCCAATGAAGCGCTGCAGTGGTACAGTTACAGTTAAACTCCACAGCCACAGCCTGTTAGCATCAGAGCTAACAGATCAGATGTACTTTATAGGAGTTTAAAGGAACCAATCAGGAATCGCCGGAACTGTGTGGAAAATATGGTTCGTATATATCCGTTTTATCGTCCTTTGAACATTGAAAATGCAAGAAATTTAAATGAGAAAAAATTAAATTAGAAAAATGAATGAGAAATGTCTAAAAAAGAAAACATCACACATCCTTTAACAGTGCTAACCTAATCTTCCCAATATTAAACTATCAAGGTGTTTTGGGTTGATTTTGTTCCAGAGCTTTAGAGTCATTCAGTTTATTGTAATTACAAAATAATTGATGTATGTGAGTATATAAAATAAGAATATATATGTTTAATTCATATACACAATTTGTAAAAGTTTGATGTATAATTTTAGAGAGGACTATACAGCATTAAAGCTAATTCACAGGCAGTCAGGAGGCACAAATGTGAGGGCGGTATGTTTATAAAATGAACTAAAAGAGCTGTAGTCTGATCACTCTGTATCTCGATGTTTGAATATTGCCCTGCAGATTTGGCACCCTGGCTACAAAATGAAAAAAGTAAAAACACATTTCTTGCTCGTCAGGCACTGAAAATATATGAGAATTTTTTTTTTCAATAGCATTTTTAAACAACTGTCTTAAAACAGTTTGTACCGTCATTATTATTATTATTATTATTATTATTATTATTATTAGAAGTACTACTAGTAGTAGTAGTAGTATTGTTGTTATTGTTGTTGTTGTTGTTGTCGTTTTTGCGCCGTTATAAGCAGTTTATTGCGCTCTCAACGCATTTAACATTAACATTCAGTTTTCACCCTGTTAGCTGAGCTAATCCGACAAACTACGCGATGTTCTAAGGTGCAGGTGCAGTGGGGTCATCAACAAGCTCGGGACAAAAAAGGAATGCAAGTGTAATTATGAAGAGATAGCAGAGTTAGAAATGAAGATCTTCACCATAAAACATTCTACAGTGGTGTCATTTTACGCAGGATCAAAAAAGGCGTGTGTAAAAATAAGTCAAAATAACACGCACAAAATCCAGCCCTGAAAGTTTAAATGTAGTTATTTTGTTGACAAATATCCTTTCAGGATGTGTGTCCGGAATACTGTGTCTGCTGCCACTGTTGAAGGACGTCTCTCTTTAACACGCTTCTCAGACAGCTGGTTTTAGGAGGCGAAGAAAATTCAAACCGACCGCCGCTACTCAAACTGTTGTAAATCAAACGGGAAAAATAATAATTTATTATTATTATTATTATTATTATTATTATTATTATTATTATTATTCCCCTGATTTGACACTCTTAAAAACACTTTTTCTTCAAGGGTTTTTTAGTAAAAGACATGAGTCTCCTAAGAATCATGAGTGCTATATAGAACCATTTCACGCTTAAACGGTTCTTTACGCGGTGAAACTGGCTGTTCAGATTGATTGAGAGAGTGTTGTGGTTCTGTATAGCACCAGAAGGGTTCTTCTATTGTTACAAGCTTGACAT